AGCCAAGGATCAACTACCCAGCGAAAATAAGCATGATCTTTCAGGGGAGGAGATGGATATTCAACAAAATAGGGGACTTCCAAACCTTCCTGATAAAAAGACCAGAGCTCAACAAAAAATTTAATCTTCAAGATTTAAGAAAGAAATAAAAAAGTAAATGGGGCAGAAAGATACAATATGTTGTTAATAAGGACAGACTGTTTACATCCCTACAAGGGAAGATAATACTTGCAGCTCTTGAGAACTATATTGTTATTACACCATGTTGAAGGAGTATACATAAAGGGGGTGGATATAACATGACTTTGATGTAATGATTAAAAAAATCTAATCAAGTGGGTTAAATGGATCCAAGTAAGTGGATTAGTCTGATCTAAGAAAATGTACTAAGAAAGGAGGAGGCAGACAAAGGTAAATTACATTATAGGAAAAGACACAAAAACCTATTACAGCAGAGGAAAAGAAGGGAGGGAGATGAGCATTGTTTGAACCTTACTCTCATCAGATTTGGCTCAAAAAGGGAATAACATAATCAGTTAGGTATAGAAATTTAACTTGCCCTATAGGCAGTAGGAGGGAAAAAGGGGAAAGAAAAGGGAGGGGGGATAGAAGGGAGGGAAGAAGCAGTAAAGGTAAAGGGGAAGAAAAGGGAAAGAGCTAGTAGAAGGGAGGAGGGACTGAAGGAGGCTGTGGTCAAAAGCAAAGCACTAATGAGAGGGGGAAAGGAGAAAGTAAAAAGAAAAGCATAAACAGGGGGAAAATGGGATGGAGAAAAAGACACAGATAGTAATCATAACTGTGAATGTAAATGGGATGAACTCTCCCATAAAACAGAAGCAGATAGCAGAATGGATTAAAAACCATAATCCTACAATATGTTGTTTACAGGAAACACATTTGAAAAAGAGCGACACACACAGGGTAAAGGTAAAAGGCTGGAGCAAAATATATTATGCTTCAGCTGAAGTAAAAAAAAGCAGGGGTAGCAATCCTGATCTTAGACAAAGCAAAAGCAAAAATGGATCTTATCAAAAGAGATAAGGAGGGAAACTATCATCTTGCTAAAAGGCACCATAGACAATGAAGTAATATCATCACTAAACATATATGCACCAAATGGTATAGCATCCAAATTCTTAGAGAAGTTCAGGGGGTTACAGGAAGAAATAGCAAAACTATACAAGTGGGGGACCTCAACCTCCCCCTTTCTGAACTAGATAAATCTAACCACATAATAAACAAGAAAGAAGTTAAGGAGGTAAACAGAACATTAGAAAAGTTAGGTATGGTAGACCTCTGGAGAAAACTGAATGGGGATAGAAAAGAATATACTTTTTTCTCGGCAGTACATGGCACATACACAAAAATTGACCATGCACTAGGGCATAAAAACCTCGCAATCCAATGCAGAAAGGTAGAAATATTAAATGCATCCTTTTCAGATCATGATGCAGTAAAAATTATATGTAATAAAGGGCCATGGAAAGATAGACTAAAAAATAATTGGAAACTAAATAATCTAGTCCTAAAAAATAATTGGGTCAAACAACAAATCAAAGAAACAATCAATAATTTCATTCAAGATAATGACAATGAGATAACATAACAAGACTTATGAGATGCAGCAAAAGCAGTTCTTAGGGGAAGTTTTATATCTTTAAATCCTTACATAAATAAAATAGAAAAAGAGGAGATCAATGAATTGGGCATACAACTAAAAAAACTAGAAAAAGAACAAATTAAAAATCCTCAATTAAACACCAAATTTGAAATATTGAAAACCAAAGGAACAATTAATAAAATTGAAATTAAGAAAACTGTTGAACTAGTAAATAAAACTAAGAGCTGGTTTTATGAAAAAACCAATAAAATAGATAAACCTTTGGTTAATTTAATTAAAAAAAAGAAAGGAGAAAACCAAATTACTAGTATCAGGAATGAAAAGGGTGAAGCTACCACCAAGAGAGAGGAAATTAAAACAATAATTAGGAATTATTTTGCCCAACTATATGCCAACAAATTTGACAGTCTTAGTGAAATGCATCCATATTTACAAAAATACAAATTGCCCAGATTAACAGAAGAGGAAGTGAAATACTTAAATAACCCCATCTCAGAAAAAGAAATTGAGCAAACCATTGATGAACTCCCTAGGAAAAAATCTCCAGGGCCAGATGGATTTACATGTGAATTCTATCAAACATTTTAAGAACAATTAATTCCAATACTATATAGACTATTTGGGAAAATAGGTGAAGAAGGAGTCTTACCAAATTCTTTTTATAATACAAATATGGTGCTGATACCTAAAGCAGGAAGAGTCAAAACAGGGAAAGAAAATTATAGACCAATTTCTCTAATGAATATAGATGCAAAAATTTTAAATAAAATATTAGCAAATAGATTACAGCAACTTATCACAAGAATAATACACTGTGACCAGATAGGATTTATACCAGGAATGCAGGGCTGGTTCAATATTAGGAAAACTATCATCATAACTGAGCATATCAACACCAAAACTAACAGAAACCACATGATCATCTCAGTAGATACAGAAAAAGCTTTTGACAAAATACAACATCCATTCTTGTTATAAACGCATAGTTTATAATGGAGTTTTCCTTAAAATAATAAATAGCATCTGTCTAAAACCTTCAGCAAGCATAATATGTAATGGGGACAAGCTAGAAGCATATCGAATAAGATCAGCGGTGAAACAAGGATGTCTATTATCACCATTGTTATTCATTATCGTACTGGAAATGTTAGCTTTAGCAATAAGAGAAGAAAAAGAAATTGAAGGTGTTAGAATAGGCAAAGAAGAAATAAACCTATCACTCTTTGCAGATGACATGATGATATACTTAGAGAATCCTAGAGAATCAAGCAAAAAACTACTTGAAATAATAAACAACTTTAGCAAAGTTGCAGGCTATAAAATAAACCCACATAAATCATCAGCATTTCTATATATTACCAACAAAGCCCAACAGCAAGAGATAGAGAAATTCCATTTAAAGTTACTGTAGACATTGTAAAATATGTAGGATTCTGCCTCCCGAAACAAACCGAGGAACTCTATAAAGACAATTACAAAACGCTTTTCACACAAATAAAATCAGATCTAAATAACTGGAAAAACATCACTTGCTCATGGGCAGGCTGAGCTAATATAATAAAAATGACAATTCTTCCAAAACTAATCTACTTATTCAATGCCATACCAATCAAGCTACCAAAAATTATTTTATAGAGTTAGAAAAAATAATAACAAGATTCATTTGGAAGAACAAAAGGTCCAGAATATCAAGGGAACTAATGAAAAGAAATGCAGGGGAAGGTGGCCTAGCCATTCCAGATCTTAAATTGTATTATAAAGCAGCAACCATCAAAACTGCTTGGTACTGGCTAAGAAATAGAATGGTGGATCAGTGGAATAGATTAAATATGCAGGACACAGTAGTCAGTGGCTATAGTAATCTATTATTTGATAAACCCAAAGACCCCAACTTCTGGTATAAGAACCCACTCTTTGAAAAAAAAAAACTGGGAAAATTGGAAAAGAGTATGGCAGAAACCGGGCATAGACCAAAATCTCACACCATATACCAAAATAAAGTTAAAATGGGTTCATGATTTCGATATAACGGCTGATACTATAAGCAAACTGGGATAGCAAGGAATAGTTTACCTATCAGATTTATGGAGAATAGAAAAATTCACGACCAAATAGAAGATAGAGAACATTTCAAAAAGCAGAATGGATAATTTTCATTGCATTAAATTGAAAAATTTTTGCACAAACAAAGCCAATGCAAGTAAGATTAGAAGGAAGGTAGAAAATTGGGAAAGAATTTTTACAACCAATATCTCTGATAAGGGCCTCATTTCTAAAATATATGGAGAATTAAGTCAAATTTATAAGAATACAATGCATTCCCCAATTGATAAATGGTCAAAGAATATGAATAGATAGTTCTCAGATGAAGAAATTAAAGCCATCTATATTCATAAGAAACAATGCTCTAAATCACTATTGATTAGAAAAATGCAAATCAAAACAACTCTGAGGTACCCCATCATACCTATCAGATTGGCCAACATGACAAAACAGGAAAATGGTAATTGTTGGAGAAGATGTGGGAAAATTGGAACACTAATGCATTGTTGGTGGATTTGTGAATTGATCCAATCATTTTGGAGAGCGATTTGCAGCCGTGCCCAAAGAGCTATCAAAATGTGCATACCCTGGTTGATCCAGCAATAGCACTTCTAGGGCTATATCCCAAAGAGATCGTGCAAATGGGAAAAGGACCCACATGTACAAAAATATTCATAGCAGCTCTTTTTATGGTGGCAAAAAATTGGAAATTGAGAGGATGCCCATCAATTGGGGAATGGCTGAGCAAGTTGTGGTATATGAATGTGATGGAATACTATTGTGCTATAAGAAATGATGAACAGGCTGACTTCAGAAAAACCTGGAAAGACTTGTATGGTCTGATGCTGAGTGAAGTGAGCAGAACCAAGAGAACGTTGTACATAGTTAACACCCATGTTGTGTGATGACTAATAGTGATAAACTTAACTCTTCCCAGCAATACAGGGATCTAAGACATCTCCAGAGGCCTCGTGATAGAAAATGTTATCCACATCCAAAGAAAGAACTATGGAAGTTGTATTGCTATTTTTTTTCTCTTCTGTTGAGTTTTGTTTCCTCTTTCTGATGGTTCCTCCTATTGGTTTTAATTTTTACTTACAACATCACTAATGTGAAAATATGTGTAATAGGAATGTGAATGTATAGCCTGTATCAGATTGTGTGCCAACTTGGGGCGGGTAGTGTACAGGAAGGGGGAGAAAAATTTTAAACTCAAAAGCATATGGAAGTGATTATTGATAAATCAAAATAAATTAATAAAAATATAAAGAAAATGATGTAGTTAGAAAAAAAAACAAAAAAAAACTTCCACAATAATCCTAGTTTTCTATTTTAGGCAGCAGAGACCTTTGAGGGTGGAAGTGGTGAAACCCACACTACTTCTCCAGCTATTCCATGGGCAGCATTTCCAACAGGTACTTTTTTTTAATAATTGGCAACTGTCTTACATTTCAGCATATATTATTATTATTATTATTATTATTGTTAATTTAATTTTTTCTGCATCTTATTGAGGCACTTATCCTTCTCTGGGTTGGAAAAGAGGATGCTGAATCTGTTCTTTAGCTTATTTCTTGTGTAACAGATGTGCAATGTTCCTTGCATATTTGATTATAAAAATGGTAAAAAGAACATTAAATGAATTGAGTTCTATTCACATTGTATAACTGGCTTGAGTTTTAGAAAGTAAATATGCCAGATAACTTTTCATAGGTAAAAAACTTAAAACATCTTATAAATGTTAAGGCCCATTCATTCAACAAATATTTATTGAATACTTGTGTTCAAGGTACTGTGATTGATATGGGGATGTATCAGATATGATTGGTACCCTCAGAACAAGACGATAACGTGCAGCTAAGTATAATAGAAGACATCATCTGGTTAATACCACAAGAATAATGTGACCAGTGTGGAAGGAGAGATCCCTTGCAACTCGAGAGATCAGTCAATTAGGGGTTTCCTGAAGGAAGTGGCTTTTCAAGTGGACACTGAATTATGATACAATTTGATAGGCAGATGTCAGAGAAGGAGAACAATCTAGCAAGAGGTAATAGCAAAAACAAAGGTCTGCAGAGTTTGGAAAGATCATGTTGTGTTTAATTTGCTTATAATGTAGAGTGGGCAGCTGGGTAGCAGAGTATATAGAACACTGGCCCTGGATTCAGGAGTACTATGATCCTGGGCAAGTTACTTAACCTTGTTTGCTTCAGTTTCTTATCTGTAAAATTAATAGGAGAAGGAAATGGCAAACCACTCTAGTATCTCTGCCAAGACAACCCCAAATGGGGTCACAGAGAGTCAAATAGACTGAACGACTCAATAACAACACAACAGAAAAGGTTTACAAAAGGAGAGGAATTGAGCAAGAAAGCTGGAAAACCATTGAAGCTGTTTTATATAGCGTTTTGAATGCCAGACTTACTAGTTTCTATATTATTTGGTAGACAAGAGGGAGCCATTAAAGGTTTTTAAATTAGGGAATGAAATGTGAAGCTGTACGTTAGGCAGATTAATTGGATGCCAGTATACAGGATTGATTGAAGAAGAAAGACTGGAGGAAGACTATTTAAGTAATCTTGGTACGAAGTCATGAGTGTCAAAAATTAGCCATGCAACTTTGAAAATAAAAACGAATGGGAATGTTAAGAGAAAATTTTGAAGAAAGAATCACTTGGATTTGATGACTGATTGAGATGTAAGGAAGAGAAAGAAGAAAGTAGAAGCTTACATTTGAGATGATTTTAAGATGTGTAAAGCATTTTACATATGCTTTCTCATTTAATGCTGACAACAACCAGTTAAGGTAGATAATGTTGTTATTGCCTTTTTTTTATGATGTGGAGAATAATGAAAGAGGTTAAGTAACTTGATGGCAATCACAGAAATAACAAGTATCAGAGGTGGGATTTGAGCCAAATTCTTCCTAATTTTAAATCTCTAGAATTGTTTACTATGCCACAATGATTAAAGATTTGAATTTTGAGTTCTTCCTCTGAAATCTGCCTGTTTATATCCTTTGAACATTTATCAATTTCAGAGTGGCTCCTATTTTTATAAGTTTGTCTTAGTTCTTTATATATTTGAAAAAATGAGATTTTTATCAGAGAAACATGCTTCAGTTCTCCCCTCCCCCCAGTTTTCTGCTTTTCTCCTAATTTTGACTGTAATAGTTTTGCTTATGCATTTTAAAAAAAATTTTATGGAGTCAAAATTATCCATTCTACCTACTGCAAATATATCTCTTGTTTGGTCAATGAGCTCTTTTCCTCTCCATAGATCTGACAGGGCGTGATCTGATCACTGCCCTCCTGGTATATCCTCAGATCCTTCCTGAGGTAATGCCTTTGCTCTCTTTTGATTTACAACCACTCTTCTCTGCCTTGGAACTATGACCTGACCCTGTCCCTAGTGGTAACACAGGAGCCCCCCTGGAATCTCTTTCTAACTTTTCAGTCCCCTTATTGTCCCTGCTGCCATTGCTGCTTCTGCCACTATTGCCACTGTTGCTGCTATTGCAGCCTTCAAGGCCCACACCTGGTACCACTTCCACTGTGCCACATTTCCAGCCAGCCTCTACTCCAGTATCAGCAGGCCTGTCTTGGTGTCCTCCTAAACTTTCCTGGGTTGGAAAAATGATTCACTGTGGCTTTTTGTTGGTTATCCTGCTCATAATTCAGTGTGATAAACTTTTTAAAGTTGTTTAGAGGGATGTGTTGGAAGAAGTTGTCAAAGAATGACCACTTTATTCTACCATCTTGGTTCCACACCCCATGATCTATGATTTCAATAATGTATGTACTCCCTCTACTAAGATAAATCAGAATCCCTCTGTGCTTTAATAGACAGTTTCATAAATTTCATAATGGACAAAAACAGATTATCATCTAGTAGCCAATATTCTGGTGATGACCCTCCTTTAACTTAAGTAGGCTACTAGCTGGATGAGAAATATGTTTAGTATTCTATTATTCATCTTTTATTCAATGTTAGGTGTTTGATCTTGGGCAAAGATTTTGGTTCACCTCTCTTCAGCAATGGGACATTGGCATAGGGCCTTAGTGACATTAGTGAGCATGCTATTAATAATGATAACTTCAGATTTATGTAACACTTTATATTCTAAAAATCTCATTTCTCAAAATAACACTTCAAGGTAGATAGAACAAATAGTCCCCTGTATGATTGAACCATTGGAGTGAAAGAGATTAGTGAATATCATTTCCATGATATTCTAATTATAATCTATATAGTCACAGTAATCTAATTGTAAGTTGGCTATCTTTAACATCCTACATGTGGCATAATCTCTAGTCCACTTATCATCATGTTCACCTTTTTCTAGACCTTCTGCTAGACTCAAGCTTGTTATCATACATGCTGGATAAAAAATGGTGCCTGGAACTAGGCATTATCCTTCAGCTGTGATCTGTCCACTACAGAGGAGAACAGGAACATTAATTTCCACATTCTAGGTGATATGCCTATCAGCGTTGCCTTAGATTCCTTTCTTTCTTCTTCTTCTTTAGTGTTTTTTATTCTCAGTATCACAGATTCTCCTAGTTGGATGGGACTTCATCGATCATATAGTCAAATCCAGACCTGAGTGAGAGTCCCCTCTACAAAACATTTAACAAGCTGTAACCCATCCTTTGCTTGAAGATCTCCAGTGAGGGAGAATTCTCTACCTCTTGGAGTAACTTGTTTTTTGTTTTTTTTTTCCTTAACCTATACCATCCGTAGCATTGTACTGGACACCAAAGAAATAGACCAGAATGGACAAGTCATTGATCCTTCCTCATGGAGCTTAAGATATAAAGTCCTAACTTCACTTTTACCTATTTCTGTCTCTCTATCTCTGTCTCTCTGTCTCTGTCTCTCTCCATATATATGTATACATATGTATGATATGTGTATGTATGCCTATGTATATGTAAGTCTTTAAAATTGAGCAAATATAAGGTTGAAATTAAAACATCTACCTCCAGGTCTTCCAGCAATTGTAGTTCACTAGTCTCAAAAATCAGTTTAGTTTTATAGCAGGCCTTCTTTTTGCTGGGTTTTAGCAAAGAATTCTAAAAATAGAAGGAAAATAAAAAGGTCACCATGAAAAGTAAGGTACAATAGGTTTATATATAGCCAAAGTTTTCAGTATTTGACAAAAAGGATTTGTCTGCTGGAGAAGTCTGTTTCTCACTCAAGAGTCTGGAAGATGTTTTGATAAGAATGATGTGAACACTCTGATTAGCATAATGGTCTAATTACCTCTACACTAAAACCTAGACAAGATGGAAATCCTGGGAATATAAAACTGATCTTTTTAATACAAATGAAAGAGAAAATAAAATAGCTTTTCCCTGTTATGTTATCTGTTCTTCTGCCTATTCCCACCCAGGACAATAATTTAGGAAAATATTCTTCTCATATTCAACGATTTTCTTGCAGGTCTAAAGCTCAGGAAGATGTATTAAAAAATCCCAGCCAACCAAAGACTATCCCCCCCCACCATAACAATCTTTCCTTCCCATTGTTGAAAAGAAAAGCCCTCATTCTTATAGGAAGAATGTGAGAGTTTTCTTGTCTTTTAAAACAAAAACAAAAAAAAAATAAAAGAGGTAAGGGAGGAAACAATATCTTGCTGAAAGTTATTATAGACAATGAAGTAATATCTATACTAAACATATATGCACCAAATAGAAATAAACACATTTTTAAAGGAGAAGTTGAATGAAGTACAGGAGGAAATAGACAATAAAACTATACTAGTGGGGGACCTCAACTTTCCTCTCTGAGAACTAGATAAATCTAACCAAAAAATAAATAAGAAAGAAGTTAAGGAGGTAAGAAAAATTCTGGAAAAGTTAGATATGATATATCTCTGGAGAAAATTGGATAGGAATAGAAAGGAATGTGCCTTTTTCTCAGCAGTACATGGCACCTACACAAAAACTGACCATGTATTAGGACATAAAAACCTCACAGCCAAATGCACAGATGGTAACTGCATTCTTTTTAGATCATAATGCAATGAAAAGATAGATTAAAATATTATAATAAAATTATAATTAAAAAAAAATTGAACTACTAAATAAAACTAAGAGCTGGTTTTGTGAAAAAAAAAAACCTAATAAAATAGATAAACCTTTGGTTAATTTGATTTAAAAATAGAAGAAAACCAAAGTACTAGTATGAAAAATGAAAAGGGTAAATTTACCACCAGTGAAGAGGAAATTAAAACAATAATTAGGAGCTATTTTGCCCAATTGTATTCCAATAAATCTGACAATTTAAGTGAAATGAATGAATATTTACAAAAATATACATTGCCCAGATTAACAGAAGAGAAAAATAAAATACTTAAATTACCCCGTTCTAGAAAAAGAAATTGAACAAGCCATCAATGAACTCCCTAAGA